AACGCTAATCAGTCTGCTTCTTCATTGGGAAGCCGGCGTGATCATCTAGAGAGGTAAGGTTTGAGATTTAGAGCTTGAATATCCTCGTCTGTGGCTATCTTCTGCACCTTTTTATTTGACCAGTACCAGTGCTGCACTAATTTTTGAATCTCTATGATAATTCCCATATTTGTGATGTTGCGTTCTTCATAAATGCTTCGGTTATAAGCCTTCCAGAGATTCCATATGATGCATCCAGGTAAGATGAGTTTGAGTAGACCTCTAATAGTGTATTTGTTGTAATTCTCCCACCATTGAAGCATATAGTTGCTTAGGTCTGTGCCCTGAGACCAGTTAGGCTCCCCTACATAATCTGCAAAAGCCTTCCAAATTTGTTGAGAAAGGATACAAGTAAGTAGGATGTGTTGATCAGTCACTTCCTCTTTTGCGCAAAAGGGGCATTTGCTAGGCAGATTATAAGATAGTTTCCTTAGAATATTAGGAAAGGGAAGGAAATGATGAATAGCTTTCCAGGTAAACAGCTTGATCTTGGGGATTTGGAATTTGTTCCAGATAAGAGTGTTCATTCGAGTACTGATATCTCTATCCCTTACAGCCCAATATGCCCCATTAATCCACTTGGGAGTGGAACTGGTCATGTATGTGTTTTGCAGGCCAATTGTTGAAATTCTACAGATTCTTTTCCAGGAGGCGGAGTCATACAATTTGGTCTCAAATAATCCATCCATGTAGTATTTATCCTTCACAAAGTTAGACCATAAAGAATTGGCATTAATCACCTTCCACCATAACTTCAAAGCACAAGCCTTCTGTAAGTCCTCCAAGCTTCTCAGCCCCAGTCCTCCTTCCCCTGTAGGCTTGCAGAGAGCAGTCCATTTGGCCCAGTGATGTTTACTCTTTCCCAATTTAGTACCCCAAAAGAAATTGGCAAGTTTGCCCTGGATAATATTAATGATAGATTTGGGGAGATCTTGCACAGCTAGGGTATGTAAAGGAATAACACTGAGCACATGTTTGATGAGAATTAATCTGCTCATAGGGTTGAGCTCTTTACTGTACCAACTGTTAAGATAGGCATCAAAGTGATTTAGGATGTGTTCACAGTGAATTCTCTTAAGCTTGCCAGAGGTAATAGTAGAGCCTAGATATTTAAAAGGGGGGCTTCCAACCATAAAACCAAGAGCTTTCTCCAATTTGTTCTTATAAGTCCAATGACAGCTTTTCTTACAGAAGACCTTGCTTTTATTGTTATTGATTTCCTGCCTAGAAGCTCTAAGGTAGTTAAGGAGGATGTGTTTAAATCTCAAAATATTCCTGAGGTCACCCTTGAGGAATACTATGAGATCATCTGCAAAAGCAAGATGAGAAACCACCTGACTCCTCCCTGCCTTGTAAGAATCTAGAAAACCAGAAGCAATAGCATGGTTAAGACTCCTAGAGAAACCTTCTGACCCAATGATGAAAAGAAGGGGGGAAAGTGGATCCCCCTGTTTAACTCCCCTCTTAATTTTAAAAAATCCATTGGGGCTTCCATTAATGAGCACAGAAATGTGTGTAGCCTCAAGATTTTGTAAAAGCAGAGCTATGCAATGATCATTGAAGCCAAAGGATTGGAGAACAGCTTTTAGATAAGACCAAGAAATCTTATCAAAAGCTTTGGCCATGTCCAGTTATATATATATATATATATGTATATACATATATATATATATATATATATATATATATATATATTTTATTAAACGAAATTTTTATTCAAATAAGAAAAAAGAAAAGAAAAGGTACAAATGAGGGGAGGACTAGGCCAATGCCCCTCTTAGAAATGCATGGAAAAAAAACTGAATGAAAAGTGAATCGAAAGAACTACAGATGGTCATTCCCAAATTATAAAACCCGGGTGTTGATCCAAGGCAAGGTTTCTGGGCATTATTTTCTTTGGCCTTTTCCCATCTGCCCCAATTGGGCCGACAGGTCCAACATACCAAAAGGGCCCAGAATAACTTTTGGTAGTGACGATTTTCTCCATTGTGGTTGATTTGCGGCTGGGCCAGTATCTAGTGATCTCGCTTACTGTTCCAACTTCAAGATTTGGATCGTAGCTTCTAGTTTTAATCGTCCTTGGTGCAGTTCCCCTCTTCCCGGCTTTTTTGTTGAGTTTGTTCTGGACATCTTGGAAGTCGTTAGGTTCCTCCCTTAGGTTGCTTGTCTCCGCTTCTTCATAGGACCTGATTTCATAGTGCTGTCCATCCACCTCAAAAGAGTGAAGAATAGGGCCAGTAGTAGTTTGGTCATTACCTGCAATGTTAGTTACTGGTGGGAAAATTTTTTTTCTAAGAGAAGGATCAGAAATAGTTTCATCATCTCCAATGATAGTAGGGGATAGTGTTCCATCCATCTCTTTCTCGAAGGAAAGAGTGTGTGCATCACTGTTAAATTTTTGGGATGGAAAATCATCCGTGGTTGCAGTTAAGGACTCTTTAGAGAGGGGAGGGAATTCCTCTTCGTACTGTGTGCCTTCCAAATCTGTCTTGGGAGACAGTTTGTGTGCCTCACAGCTTTGTTCAATCTCGGAATTAGGGTCGGTGTTAGTTGGAGTTTGGTTGTTCTCCAAAGCATCCTCACCAACACAGATTTGTTCAATCTCTACCATCATCACTGCTTTGTCTTCAGCACTGTCAGCTGGCTTAGGAACCTTAGCATTCCTACCATTAACAATGGTGGTTGCCAAAGCTTCAACTCTTTCCAAATTTGTATCCGAGTCAATAGCAGATTGTGCCTCATGTTCAAAAACAAAGGTTTCAGCTCCAGGTTCTAGTATCTGTTCCAGTTCCTTAGCCTCACGTTTTGGATCAGATTGAAACAGATTTGTTTCAGCCTGGG